TCTCCGACTCAGAGAAACAAAAATTTTGAACTATCAACTTTTCTTCTTGTCAATCTTAATATCTAATATTAACTTAACGTTGACTATTACAATTTATGCATAACCAAAATCTTACTAAACTTATATCGAACTATCAAAAAACGATAACCAAATCTTAATCTAAGACTTGGGTTTTATATAGAAAATTTTAACTTAAGTACTATGATGTATCTATTATACCTGAATTAATTCGTTCCTTGTCTCTGTACCTTGAAACCTTATATAAAAAAATATGTTCCCTTACCTTATATCTCCTGCTACTTTCTACTCTTAATTCTATTCTAACTTAAACTATCCAAGTACTTTTCTTGTCGTAGTTCTAATATTATCTTTTGTGCTTATAATATCAATCTATTCGTTGTCCTTCCAAAAATTCTATCTCATTTTCTCTACTATTCTATTCTCTCTATATTTTCTTTCTTCCCTGTATATCCTATTTCTATCCTGCTGGATACCCTTCTGATGTTGTTCCTTGTCCTACTCTCTGCTCGTCTGATCTCCATCATAACCTTCCTCTCGTCTGATCTCATCCAGGGTCTGATCCAAAAGGGATTTCAAATCCCAGTCCCTGTCCGCTGCAGCCAACACTCTTGATATAAATTCCTTTCTTTTTTCTTTCTCTGTAATCAATGCCTTCCCTATTGAATATCCTTCCTGGCCTTTATCGGCTAAATTTCCTTCCTTGTCATGTACTAGTGCAATTCCTCTCTTTTCCTTAGTAATTTCTCCTTCCCTTGTGTTGAATTGTGCGTAGTAATTAGTTCTCGTTGTAGGCGCCTCTATTTTCCTTCTTCCATCTTCTCTCTTCCTTTCCTGCCTTATAAACCCCGAGTTGTCGGGGGAAAGGTAGGGCAGGTCATCGCTACTTGTGTCATCAGCATTCCTTGCTTCTTCTTCCTTTCCTCTTCCTTTTCTACTATTTGCTTTGCTAATCACTTTGTCTCTATATAAAGATTTCTGCCTCTGACTCGACTTCTGTCCTGGTTTACTAAGGAGCGGCCAATTATTCGGTTTTTCGTATCTGTCATAAACTTCCGTAGGACCTTCATCACTTCCCTCTAAAATTTCGATCGCTTCTCTATATGAAGCATTATTATATCATCACTTTCTTGATCCTCTGATTTCTCTCGTACATATTATACTATCGTTATACCATCACTTTCTTGATCCTCTGATTTCTCTCGTACATGTCACACCTCCTATCTGTGGATTTGTGACTCTCACTGCAGTTGCGACACTTCGTTGGTTCATCGCAGTGGCCATGCGCTCTTTCATCACAATTGATACAGCATTCCTCACTTACAATGAACTTTTCTATGGCCATATCTGAAGCACTTGTAACACTGCAACACAGGGGCCACGTATGGTCTTACTCTTAATACAGCTAAGTCGTTGAAAAAAACTTATCTTATCTTATATCTTCTATCTCTGGGCTGGTTTCCTTTAAATGTAATTATCACAGAGTCGACCGGCTCAAATTCTATCTTATTTTCTTCCTTGTTCCATTTTCTTCTCATCATTCTCTCAATTTTTAAAACATCCTCGGGTTTGATGAGCAAACTATAGAAGTCTATGATTGAATCTAGATATAGCGGAAACAACACCTCTGAAGCACGTGTCCCGGTCTTCTATTCCCGCGCTGTATCCGTCTTTTCCTTTATCCTCTTGATTTTCTTAATTGCACTGTTAGCGTCTATTGGATTTAAAAAATATAATATAGCTGTCTTAAACCCGTTCATCATTATGCGTTTAGGATAAATTCTTTTATCTTTTAACATATATAAAATCTTAAAATAATTGCTGCCTTTTTTGGCTGTATCTGCTCTTTCCGTCATCCTGAGTGTAACCTTATAGTTGCTTCCGAAATTTTCGTCAAATTCCAACCTCCTACTAACCTTGGACACGTCGATCTCACTGATGTGTTTAAGTATACCATCCTCCCTCACATATGCCTCTCTTTTTCTTATCTCGCTTCTCCTTGCCATGGTATCCGCCGTATTTATCTGTTGCACTATATCGCTATTTACTAACTGCGCACCTTTATCGCAACCCGCCGGTACTGACGTGTCTCCTTCCCCCTCAACTTCCATTTCCTCTTCCGATTGGTCCTCTCCTGTTACACGTGACTTCTGACCAATAGTATTGTCTCTCCCGCGCTCTTCTCTACCTTTAAATTTTGTTTCCTTGCCTTCTTCTTCTTCCTCTCTACCATTTTCCAGTCTTCGCTCTCATTCTCTGTGTTCGTTGTATCTAGCATCAGTTGATCCAGCGTATCTTCCGTCGCCGGTCTTTTTCCTTTATTGTTATCTTCGTTCATTTCTACACTTAATCTTGCTTCCAGTCTCCTTATTGTCTTCTTCAGCGTTTCATTCTCTCTTAACGTAAGGTTTATACTTTTTCTTCTCTCCTCTCGCCCCCCCTCTCCCGGGGGCTCTTCGTTATCCTTTAAATTTTCTATGCTGCCTTAGTATTGCACCTATTCCTTACTAAATCCTAATATTGCACGCCTAGCTAATCCTAATGAGCTTTAAAAAGAGCTGATTTAACTAAACCAAGAGTTTCTAACGCTAAAAATCTCCAGACACCACTCGCACACGTCCGCACCACACGAACCGCCCTCTCTTTTTTTTCTTTGTAGAATTAAGGTACTTCGTTGGCGGAACGTGTACAACAATTAACAGAAATGGCCATGAAAAAATCGGTATTGAAATTCAACGGATCAAAATTTAAATAATACATTAAAGCTCCTCCGAGGAATTATTCTGTTATAGTTATGTTTACTGCTATGGCACCTCAGACACAATGTCAAATTTGCCGGTGAGTTGACATGTATATATAAATGACTTTAGTATATAAAATATCAGCTACCTGCCAACAAACCATCAGCAAATTTGAGCAATATACATATATGCATATATAGTAAATTTTGAGAATATTCTTAAAATATTATATATCAAATAAAAGTATATTGTGATTCTTATATTCTTAATATTAACTCTAATGATCATTTATTTATGTATCGCAAAGACATTTATGTTTTATATCCAGTACAAAATAATGCAAACAATTCAATCTGTGATTATACAATAGATTATATTGAAATCTTGATAAATTTTACAAGCAAGAAATGGACACTACTAAGTGACAAGCTTGTAATTATATTCGGAGATAGTATAAACTCTGCTGGATTTTTGCTAACAAATCTGCTTTCAGATTATATCAAAGATCAGATTCTGCTTCAATTTTTGTCAATGATTTAATGTCAAATTATGTCAAAGTTTATCTAATTTCTGTCCACATCTATTGTCAGATCATGTCATAATAAGCTATACTTTATTTTTATTCATAGTTTTATATAGATTATGTTAGTAGGTTCAGTATAGTTCTGTCAACAATCAAATATCAAAATGTACTATATCTTTGTTTTTAATGTTAGTTTATTATTGCAATCTGTTAGTAGATTTTTTTCATATTTCTTTCAGTATTCTGCATATTATAACAACGTGTTTAATCTTATTAATGCTGATATTCTGATGATATATAATGTTTTGCAAAATCTGTTTTTGACAAACTTGATTATCTAAAGCTATGTTTAGAAAACATGACAAGTGGCAATCTTGTAATTATATTCAGTGACAATGTTGACTCTATTGAGTTTTTGTTGACAAATTGTTTTTAGATTGTATCAAAGATCATAAAAGAAACTCTCATAAAAGAGAACGCCACTAATAAGTCACGTATAAAAAGAATCTGTAAATATGTTTAATAATTTTATTAATGTAATTTTAGACATGTCAATGATGAATGTTTAGAAAACATGACAATTGTACATTTGTTATTTGAACATTTGCTATTACTGATATTTCTCTATATAGATCTAAACAGCATAAGTAATGATACTGAGTCATTCAACCATTATATTTTTAGCCAATCTATTTTGTAACAATTAATTCTATTATTATTTTTAAGTCGTCTTTGTGTAAATATATGATCGAAAAGCTGTGCATAATGACATTATAATGATTATAATATTGTCATTAAGAATTATATGTGCAAGAAAGAGTTGCTACTAAGTGGCAATCTTGTAATTATATTCAGTGACAATGTTGACTCTATTGAGTTTTTGTTGACAAATTGTTTTTAGATTGTATCAAAGATCATAAAAGAAACTCTCATAAAAGAGAACGCCACTAATAAGTCACGTATAAAAAGAATCTGTAAATATGTTTAATAATTTTATTAATGTAATTTTAGACATGCCAATGATGAATTTACAATAGTGGCGAACTCCTTCCGATATTCTCCATTATATTCCAACAAGTTATTCTTTGTCTCTATTGACTTTGACGAAGGATCAGATGTTTTTTGGATTGGTAAGTAGAACATAAAAGATACAAGAGAATAATGATTAATACAAAAGTTTTTGTTTATTATAAAT